GGATAAGGGGACGGGGTGGAGGTGAGGGACAAGGGTGGGGGGTCAGGGTGGAGGTGGAGGGCCGGAGTGGAGGACAGGGGTGGGGGTGGGCAGCTGTAGAATGCACAAGGTCAGCACTGGCTGGGAAATGCTCCTGGCTCCCAGGCTGGGGATTAGTGGGATAAAGGGAGGCAGATCCCACCGGCTTAGTTCATTCTTTACAGTCACTGACCTGGCCAGAGGCCAGAGCAAGAGACAAGAAATGGACTCCAGTGCCTCCTGGTACTGTGAGACCCCAGGAACAACATGGCTTCCCAGTTCTACTCTGCAGGCCAAGAGTTGGTGCTTGTTGGCAGAGCTACTGGGAAGAATCTAGAATATGCAAGTTAGAGGCTAGAGGACTGCTACCTGGCCTGGGATACAAGGATTCCTGGGGAGTGGCCAAGATGGAAGGGAAGGTTCACCACATGCTCCAGAAACCTCGGGTCCTACATCCTGCTGCTGTTGATGTTAAAGATCGTGATGGAATCTGCATTTTTCCCTATTGTCTAGTACTAGAAACTTGAACTGCCCAGTTCAGCAGCCACTAGCTACACATTGATGGACACTCGAAACTAGTCCAGGTGACAGTGTGCTATATGTAGGAAATAGATTTGGATGACAATGAGGGCAGGCATGAATTATCGATCTAATAGTTCTTATATTGATTAGACACAAAAATACTTACATTCTGGATATATTGACTTTAACAAAGCATAATGTGAAAATTAATTATACCTGTTTCTTTTTAAGTGTTCCAATGTGGCCACTGGAAAGATTTAAACTACATATGTGATTCATAATACTTACATGATGTCACAGAATGAGGAGTGATGCTCCACATCCAGTCACCTCAATAGTGTTCAGACTTAACCAGCTCATTGACAACTTCAGGGACTCTGCACATGCTCTTCCTGCTGCCTGGTCTTACCTACCCCTGCCCCAATTTTATGTAGCCCAGGCTGGCCTGGAGCTCACTATGTACACCAGGCTAGGCTAGAATTCACAGAAATCTGCCTGCCTCTGCCTCCCGATTAAAGGTATGCACACCATGCCCAGCTTCCTGACCATAATTATCACATGGTTACTCCCTCACTTGACCCCAGTCACCTCCTCAGAGAGGTTCCCCTTTAACCACCGAGCTAACATGACTATTTGCTGTGTACCCCAATTCTCGGGGGGCCTCTTATCCCACTTGATGATCTTTATAGTGCCTCTCACTCTTTGAGGTCAAAATTCACTGGCGGAGCTTTCTAGATGAGCAGATGGGACAGGCGGAGGCTGAGCCTGGTTTCTGTGCCTCTTCACAACACTTGTATATGTAAGCTGACCCTCTGCATTGTATAAGGCTGAGGGTCAGAAAAGTCAAGTAACTGACCAAGGCCACACAGCAGGCGTGGGGCTGGGAATCCTCGCCAGCTGGCTTTGAGCCTCTGCCCCTAGTCTTGTGGGCAACATGGTGCGGAGCAGCCGACAAAGCAGAGAGACTTAACTCGCCAAATTCTAACACTGAGGCTGAGAAGCCCAGTGGGGAGGGGAATCTACCCAGCTGACCCCAGAGGGTGGACTGAAGAAGTGCAGAGGGAAACTGAGGCAATTGCTTCCCCCCCCCCGAGTGGGGTATGCACCTTGGGGTTGAGGGGATGGGGCTTACCAGCCTGGGTCTGGTGGTCTGAGGCCATGGTGGACTCTCTGGCAAGAGGTAACCTGAAAGACATGGGAAACCACGTGGAGACCTTGCTGGTCCTCAGCTCTGAGCTGCCACAGGACATCGGGGCCACATTGGTGCAGGTCTGGGCCCTCTTCTCTTTCAGCTGGCTTCATATTGTTCTAGAACCAGCCTCCTAGCCTCCATCCTCACCTTCACTTTCACGGGTTGCCACATGGAGGTCAGCAGACCTAGTCCCACCCCAACCTCCACCTTGGCACAGGTATTTCTCAAGGAAAATAAAAGCACGGGGCCTACACAACCCCCTCACTGGCCTTGACTGGCCATGATGCAGTCTCAGTGTGAGAACAGAAAACATTCCTGTGCCCCTCTCCAGACACCCCCAGTCTGCTCCCAGAGAATCCCCTCCAGCCCCTAGTACCCAGAATTCCCCTCTCCGCTGTGGTCTTCCTCCCCCACCACTACGCTCCTGTCATGGAGTCATGTTGGCCAGGAGCCATCTAGGATGGTAGAAGCCAGACCCTCCAGGCTATGACACCTGGGAACTGTGGGTCAGCATCGCATTTCCTATGGAGGAGGGTCTGGCCAGCGAGCTTGTGTGTCCCTGGGGTCCTCAGGGAACGTGCCTCCACCTCACAGATCACAACTGGCCATCCTCCCAAAGCAATGAAACTCGAGACTCTCTTCTTTGAGCCTCCCTTACACAGCCAGGTCATCGAGTACTTGGACTAAAGGTGTCGGAGCTCAGCTGGGCCATTTCGAGTGCTGGCTACCATCCAGCAGCTCAAATACCCCCTCCAATGCCACCCTCTCTCTGCACCTGTTTCCTGCTGTGTAGACCGGGAAGGCAATGTGGCTCTGCATCCTGTCTATGAACCGACTTCGAGGAGTCCATACAACTTTGTGCACCTGGCAAAACCCTGAAACACACTCTGTGCCCAGGAAGGGGCAGCAGCATGATCAGGGCTGTTTCCAGTGGGCTTTAATAATAGCCAGACCACTGCGTGCTGAGGACAGCTAGAGGTGAGTCCTACCCACCAGTGTTCCCCAAGGCTGGCCCAAGGGGGCCATAATGACAGGGAATGAAGAAGCAGACTCAGTAAACTAGACAAGGTCAAGGGGGGGCCACCTCTGGTACAAAGACTCGGTGGCATCTTCCTTCATAGTTACGGCAGAACAAGGGTGCTGAGAAGCGGTTTGATATTAATAAGGAGCCCTGCCCAGGCAGCTGCTGTCACTAGGCCCTGTGCCAGTCCACTCAACTATGCTGTTCCCTGATCCCACAGCAGAGGGACTTTGATGGTCCCTCTCCCTATTTAACAGAGGGGAAAACTGAGGCCGAGTGCTAAAGTCTGCCCCAGGTCTCCCATGCTTTCCCACAGAGATGAGAGAACAGAAAAAGACAAGGAAAGCAACAGAGGCTTCTTACCAGATTCCCAACCCCCAAGAGTGCCGTGAAGCCCAGCAGTGGGAGGCAGCATTTATACCTTCCCCAGGAGGGCTGGTGCCAAGATGGATGATAGCTGCATCCCCTCAAAAGACAGGGTGAGAATGCGGGCCAAGCCCACACCAAAGCCCAGCTCAGGAAATGCCCACACAATAATGTCATTAGCTTTCAAATTCAGCTGTGCCAGGGTATCAGGCGGCCAGGCAAGGAGATGCCCACTTTGCATGTGTCAGCCCTCTGGCTTCCAGGATGGGGCCATGCCAGGTTCACTGGTGTGGCTGTCAGGCCCTGGGGCCCAGCAGACAGAGGCCTTCTCAGCAGCCCTGGGGAAAACAGGCAGAGGAGGGCCTTTGGGCATTCCTTCATCCATTCACCCATTCACCCATCCACTTGTCCAAATACCCATACAACAATCCCCCCCCCCACCCACCCACCCATCTACCATCAACCCATGCACTCACCATCCACTTACCCACCCATCCATTCATCCATCTGACTACCAACCTATCCATCCTCCTAGCTATCCATCTGACTATTCACCTACCCATCTGTCTAGCCAGCCACCAGTTCTCCCATCCATTCCCCATCCATCGATCCATCCATCCAACCATCCATCCATCCATCCATCCTACCTATCTATCCCCCATCTACCCATCCATCCATCCACACATTCAACTGTCTATCAACTCACCATTCATTCATTCATCCATACATACACCTATTTATCTGTTCCTCCATCCATTCATTCACTGGGTGCCAGTTCTGTTCTGGGTCAGTGTTGGGGTCCTCCTGCCCTAGTCTGAGTCATCCTCTAGGATGAGAAGTTGGAAAGCAGGGCTTAGGAGAATGCTCAGGAGCCCATGTGTTTCATTTAAAGCAGCCAGAAATTGGATCAACAATTCAAGCAACATGAGATGAGGAAGGCCAAGTGTACAGGGGCCTGACTGAGGAGAGTGAACTCCCTGAGGGCGGCCTGCTAGTCCACACCTGCTGTCACACCTGCTGTCACACCTGCTGCCCCACACCTCTGTCATACCTCCTGTCACACCTGTCACACCTGCTGTCACACCTATGTCACACCTGCTGTCACACCTTCTATCCTCAGGTCGGGTATTTACAATCCTGAGTCCTGATTGTTGAAGGCTCTCAGATCTCTACCTGGCCCATCAACGCACTAGACTCTTGTTCCTCTAGAGTGCATGTCTTCCTGCAGCCCAGGCCCCATATTCACTCTGAATCCATAGTTAAGCACGAGAGAGGGAACAGTACTGGTGCTGGGACAGCAGGTCCTGAATAGCACATTCCCTGTCTTCTTTCCCATCCTCTTAACAGCCACACAAGTACACAGATACACAGCACTTAGCATATACAAACTCTGTGCATGCCCAGCACACCACACACACATGCATGCATGTCTCGGCTCCCTGTCCACACTGTTTCTCACTTGTCCCCACACAACACTCTATTCTTGAATTTTCTGCCCATACATAAGCATTGTGAGACCATACATGCTAGTTTTGCAGATTGCTTAGTGTGGCATCCTCAAAGCCCAAGGCCTGGTACATACCTATTGCTATAAGCCAGGTGGCTTTAAAGCAAAGACACTTGGTGTGTAAAAGGGATAGCCGCTGTGGGAATCAACATGACTCAAAAACATTGCTCAAAAATTACATGTGGATGGGTCCAGGGATGTAGCTCAGTTGGTAGAGTGCTTGCGTAGAGCCCTAGTTTCACTCGCTAGCACTGCATAAGCAGGTGGTGCAAGCCTGTAATCCCAGTACTCCAGAGGTAGAGACAGGACTATCAGAAGTTCAAGGTCATCCTTGGCTACATAGCAAATCTGAGGCCAGCTTGGGATACATGAAGGTCTGTCTTTAAATTTGTCACTATTACCATTGCCCTTGGTTGCCCACTGTGGCTAGATGGTAAGACTCTATTGCTGAAGACACAATACACTTTGGTTGCAGGACACAGAGAGATCAAGCTGGAACTGACCCAGAAACTTCTTCCTGGCCAGCTTTCATAGTGTCAGAGGTGCCACGCAGTCCACTGGATGAGAAAAGTCATCAGTGGACTTGCCTATTGCCCCGCATGCTCAATACCGACCTCTCAGGTAATAAGTGCCCATGGGTTCAATAGTGGCATGGCTGTTATAGGGGTAACCCAGTGCTTTCCGATTGGATTCAAGGCCTGTTCCACAGGAGGACTCATGTCTGATACTATAAATGTAGAATTTGGTGACTGCTGGAGGAGGGGGAGTCATTTTCTTCAGGTGTGCCCATGGGAGTTTGCCCATTGTCCTGGCTAGCTTTTATTGTCAGCCAGACACCAGCTAGTGTCACCCGGTTAGAGGAAACCTCAACTGAGGAATTTCCTCCCTCAGATTAGCCTGTGGGCATGTCTGTGGGGTGTTTTCTCCATTGCTAATAGATGTAGAAGGGCCAGCCCACTGTGCGTGGTGCTGTCCCTAAGCAAGTAAGCCTAGGCTGTATAAGAAAGGTAGCTGAGTGATCCAGAGAGCAAGCCAGTCAGCATCCTCCTCCACAGGTTCTGCTCCAAGCTCCTGCCCCACCTTCCTCAGCAGTGGACTGTGACCTGGAAGTGTGAGTGAACTGAAAGCCTCTCCTCCCCTAAGTTGCTTTTGGTGAGGCTGTTTCATCACCACAACAGAAAGGGAACAAGTAGGGCACTCACAGTACAGAGAATAGCCCACACCCCTATGCATGCAGCAGAGCTAACTGGACCCAGTAGATGATGAGGGAGAAGGAAGAAGAGGAGAAAGAAGAGGGGGAGGAGGGGGAGGAGGAGGAAGAGGAGGGGGAAACAATATACCTGTGAGATTGATACATCACCTACAGAGAAGACCTGTAAGTCTTCTTTCATTAGAATCATTAGAGCTGTAATTTTCACTAGCTGCAATTCACACTGCATTCTTCCCCCAGGCCTGTAGGATCCTATCACCCACACTGTCTTTCACACTCCTGATTGCCTCCTGCGATAAGCCATCATGTCTCACTATAGAAAACATCCACATCTCAACTTTGAGCAAGACTTCCTGGAGTCAGGTGTAACACAGAAATTGTTGAAGGTGGAAGACAACAAGGAAAAGGAGGAAGAGGAAGAAGGGAAAGTGAAGAAGGAAGACAAGAAGGAGGAGGAACAAGAGAAGGAGGAGAAGAAGCAGGAACTGGAGGAGGAAGAGGAGGAGGAGATGGAAGAGGAGGAGGAAGAAAAGGAGGAGGAAGAAGAGGAGGAGGAAGACAAGGATGATGAGGAGGAAGAAGATGAGAAGGAAGAAGATGAGGATGAAGAGGAGGAGGATGATGGGGAGGAAGAAGAGGAGGAGGAGGAGGAAGAGGAGGAAGAGGAGGAGGAGGAAGAGGAGGAAGAGGAGGAGGAGGAAGAGGAGGAGGAAAGGGCGGGGAGGAACCCAGATTCCTCTTCTGTGATGTTCCCTGAGCCCTATATGTAAAGGTTGCATTGTGGGTGTGTCACATAGGCCTGGGCACCTCACAGATACTTATTCTCTGTATTTTAACCAGCTGTGGAACTTGTAATGGTCTCCA